CTTCTCAAGGAACAAGGAAATGTATAATTAGCCATTGTGATGCAATTCTACCCATTCCCATGAAAAGGAAAGGTGAAGTGGAGGTCTCTCTGAAGATCATGTGCCCAAGCCCATAGATATGGGACCTCTCATTCTGATGTGTAAATTTGTCTGGTGAAATGAAGAGCAGGTCATTAGCTCTCAGAGGCTCAGACTGAGGCTACTATTGGAAGTGGGAACACAAAATGTTCAGACTGGAGAACAGAACCGTGAGATTGGGGTGGGTAGGTGACATGTGGAATAAACTATTCAGGCGTGTGTGAAAAAGTATCAGCCTGTGGTATGAAAATTAAATTGGGAGAATTGTGCCCACCTGAGTGTGTGAAAAGACTGTAGATGCTCCAAGATCTTGTGGTCTGTTTGGACTTCAGTGGAGTGTGAAGCTTCTTACAAGAGGTGTGCCAGTGTTGAAAAGCATCTCTGATCACTAAGAATTTCTTGTTCAAAACATCACAGTTCCTTTCTGGCTTCAGTAGCTGTCTAGAATAAAAGGTGCAAGGCAAAAGTCTTTGTTCAAAATCCTCAGATGTCTGCCCTTAAATCAAAATCAGAAGCATCTGTTTGAACAACAAAGGCACATGATGGTAGAGGATAGGACAGGGAAGCAAAAGTCTGTTTGAATGAGGAACAAGCATGTTGAGCATCTAGATTCCACTTGAAAGTATGCATGATGCTGGAAAATCCCATTCTAAGCAAGATGGGTGAAAGCTTTTATATATGCTTCAAAATCATGGATCAATTGGTAATAAAATTTAAGAATCTTCCAAATTGTTGCATCCCCTTGACATTGTGGGTGGGTGCACATACTCAAAGAGAGAACTGAATTCATTTTGATGAGATCCATTGTGATTCCCCCAGCAAAGTTGTGGTACCGTCAATAATCCGAGAGACACAGATCAATTTCTCTATTTTAGGACATACATTGTGTAGGTGGAACTGGCAAGGACTATGGACCTTTTTAGTGTGAGTAGTTGATCTTCAGAATAAATTAACAGGTCATCAAATAAACCTCAATACAGCAGTCCAGTGTCTCATGAAAAATGTGGGATTTATAAACTTATTGATGGACATAAACTGAACTATATGTCTGTCTGAATTTTTCATATTGCATGGGAAAACAAGCTAAATATAGGTACTTCACCTTCATATAAATTAAACTACATTCCCTTCTGAGAGCTAAACTGACAAAATGCAGTTTTTAAAAGTTCAGAAATGAGAGAGTTATTGATGCTTAATGATGATAGAATTCACAACTAATCATGACATTCAAACAATTATTTTTTCTTTTTAATGGAATGATGACTGAGAATGCCAAGGGATAAATAAATCCCAACCTTCAACTTGACATCAAGGTTTCCATTTCTTTAATGACATGAGCAAGCAGATAATTTCTGTAGCTGCTTCCTTTTTGGAAGAGGCTCGGTATTAGGTTTGGGATTTTGGAGTGTCAAAGGCAGTATTTTCTTGCTCTCAAGAATATGTAGGTTATAGATTTGAAGCAGGTGTATCCCCAATGCTACCAAGGTAGGTATAGAATAAGCTTAAATGAAAAGAATTTCAAAAGTTTTAAAAAATGATGGTCCTGAGTGCAGGCATTTACCATCAATGATTTCCATCTTCATTAATGGATCTACTGCCTAAATAGCTAGGTATATTTGTATTCAATTGCAGTCTACAAAACTGCCCTAGCTTTAAAATCTACCAGGCTCTGAAGGTTTATGACAGAGTCAATTTTTTGTGTGAGGCGAAGGACATACTATGAGTATTATACATCCTATTCCAACTTTCCTCTCTCAAGCTCCTAGAATTTGGTTAGTTGATTCCTCATAAGCCAAGCTTAGAACATTTAGGGTATTTGCTTGCAAAATATTTCCCATTTCTGTCAAAATGCACCCAAATCCTACAACATAAATGAACTTTCTGCGTACATTAATATTACTTTTTTGCAGCCAACAATGGAGCTCTGATGGCTCCCAAATGCATGCATTTAACATTTGAAGATTATAGAGTATTTGAAAGAAAGGAAAGGAAGAGTAATTTCATCACTTCTTCCTGCCCATATTCTGCTGCTCTTTCACGAGTCTGACATTTGTAACAACACAACATTGGATTAACACTTCCAAGGTGCTTGGAGTGCTTTCTTCAATAAGTTTATTCTATAATTCATTAGGCAGGTGCTCTTTAAATTGGTTGATCAAAGGTAGCTGATTCAAGCCATGTCCAGAACAAAAATATTGAAAGTTAGCCACATATGTGCACACTTGATCTTCACTTTGTAAGCATCACATCTCATCATTGTCTGTAGCCTATCTCGTGGAATCCTCAAAGGCAGCTCTCAGTATGGTCATTAAATTTGTATAATTGTCTGGATCAGAAATGTTATGTTTCAGGGCGTGGGGTGCCCATTATTCTGTTTCTCTGATCAAAAGACCAATTATGAGTCAGGATGATATGTGTCTCCTGTTCTCAAGAAATAGTATAATTTTAATTGAATGATAAAGATCATAAGTATCTTGAGATTCTATTGTCAAGCAAAAGATTGGGGGACTGTAGCAGCATGGCTGTAAAAGATACTATTGCAATCAGTGGTACTTGATCAGACCCATGTGTTATTCTAATCTAGTCAGTTCATTGTCTAGTTCTAATGGTTCGTCTGGGTCATCATGTAATTCTAATACTTTGCCACTCAGGTCTGAAACATGAGAAAGGTGCAGGAAACTTAGTCACTGCTTAATGATATTGGAAGAATTTTGGCCAACTCAAAGTGATTGTTTTCTTCTATAAGAAAGGGATTTAAGGGAATGCCGCAATTGCTGTTAGGCTTCTATAATCAAATACTAGAATTGGAATCAATGTAGGCAGACATTTAACCATACATATTCCTGATAATTCTATTGTAAATTATAAATACAATGATTGTTATATATCAAATGCAAGCACTATTTACTGTGAAATCTTATGCGTCTCCTTTGAGATAAAATGAGCTTGAGGCTTTTATTTTTGGGACATTTCACTCGTCCCATGTTATGGTAAGAGACTGTTCTGATTTTAGGCTTCTTTTGACCTTGCCAAAAGAAGCTCCTTCTCACAGCCAATAGTAAAAACTGTTATTACATTTCATCAACAAAAATGTTGGAGGCAAAGTCATAAGACCAGTTGTGGGGGAGATCAGAACATTTGTTGATTCAGACTGTTGACTATGCTCTCTTCCCTCTCATCTCTAGCCAGACTAAACTCCTGCTGTCTGTAAAGAGCTGACATAGCAATGCTATTATTCCCTCATCCCCCATCAGAATAATGCATCAACACTAGACTGCTCAGCCTTCAAGTCTTTTACTTGTCATTTTAGTAAAATCTGAAATAACACAACTATGGAATGACAGGTCTACCCGCATTCCGCAACTGATATAAAGGAATATAGAAGTTGGAATATGTTGTCTATTTAGAAAAGATGGGGGAGAGAAATCCCCATTAAAACTATTTTTAATGATTCAGCTCCTTCATCTAATCTAATTTTTAAAATTTTTATTCAACTAAGTTTACAATAGAACATGGTATAGAAAGAAAGGCACAGGAAAAAGCCTAGATTTGATGGACAAAGTCCTACAACCAGGAATACCACATTCCTATTACACTACAGTGACTAGTGGATGTTTTTCCTTTTGGTTGAGAGGGAAGAAGCAAAAATAAGGGAATTTATGTCTTTGCTAATCAAGTGTTACATAGACATATTAGAACAGCATCATTTAGCAGTGAATCACGAAGGAGACAATGGAGGCAGAAAATTTTATGCTGGTAGTGTTTTCTGCTGACTCAGAGAAAGATGGGTAGCATTAATTCAGCAGTGGGGAAAGGCTGTGGCCCTCAGATTAGTTTCCAAAGCTCTTTATGACTTCAAACTTTGCAAGACTGATTTATTATTATTCTGCTAGCCTATGGGAAAAGAGGAAAAGCGGGAAATGGTAGGAGAAAGACAAATGAGAGAAAAAGGGGACCAGGCTTGTCCAATAACAGATTAACATAAGAGAATATACCCCTTAATAGGAAAAAAAAATCAATATTTTTAAATTTAAAAGTAATTTCCCCCATAGGCAGATATTGGAGGGAGTGGGGGGAGAGGGAGGGAGAGCAGTCCTGTCTGCTAGTACCTTTGAGAGAATGTGGCTTGTAATAGAAAAAAGATCGTACTCTTTGGATTTTAAGCCATTTTCCCATGGGCAGCTAATTAATGGAAGTTATGACTATTTGTAGAGAAATGAAACAAAGAGGATTATTAGTGTGCCATAGAATAAGGACCAGACTCTTTTTCTCTTTCATAAGGAAGAACAGCCTAATGCAAGAAGCGTAGCAGCAATAATCTCAATTCTATACTACCTAAAATGCCAATAGTAGATGATACTAATATATCTACAAGAAGTTGATAGACAATATATATTGATCAAAATAGTATTATTTAGGTCAGCTTTTCTCCACAATTAGCAATATTTGCTGGAAATAATGTGAATTGTATTTCTGTATAGCTAGAAGGTAACAAGTACCTATTGCTGTCTTATAAAATGTTGTAATCTTCTCTATAAATAAACCTTGTTCCCTGCTTTTGTTATTATTTAATATATTCTACAGATCTATAGCATATTAATTTTTGTCCTTATGTATTCTAAATATTTTAATTTTCCAGACTATCATGATGAGAACATGATGCAGCTTCTTGTTAGTTTTCTATAAGAATCTGCCTTTGCAGTGTTTCTGGTATAAAACTTCCTTTGCTACCAGTCACAGACTCAGTAAAATCAGATTTTCAGTTCCTCCTTACACCTTGCAAAATATTTTTGTACCAAGCTGAAGTCTTTGAACTATTAAAGATTTGAGAGAGAAAGAGAGAAGTGAATGTTTATTTTTTAAATAACATTCTCACTGTCAAAACAACATTTTCTCACTGGATTTTCCAATGTATGCCATACCTCATTCTTCTCCAGACTGTATTCCTCCATCATCTTGTCCCCTTGCTCTTGGAAAGTGATGATGATTAAGGCCACAAAAATGTTGACGAAAAAAAATGGGAAGACCACAAAATAAACCACATAGAAGATGGACATCTCCATGCGATAACCTGGGCTGGGCCCCTGATTCTCATATGTAGCATCCACTGAGTGCTTAAGAACACTGTAAAAAAAAGTATTAGTTTTTGTTTTTTATAAATGGTTTCTATTTTATGTTAGTGTATTATTACTTTGGTATTTCATTACATCTGTTTTAAACTGCTTAGAGTCTAGTTAGATTGAGATGGTACTGTATATAAGCAAATAAAGAAAATTCTAAATTCTAATTCTAATATTATATTTCCAATATATAATATTATATAATAATATAATACTATTCAGGCTTATATCAGATTGTATAATACAGTGCACATTAATATAACAGTCATCTTTTTCTTGCAACTAATAAATAAACCATTTGATATATTTAAAAGTGCTGCTTGGGGTGTAGAAGTATCAGTGGTGGGTTCCTACCAGTTTGGCCAAACTAGTAGTGGTATGGCAGCCTGGGTTGCTGGAACTGGCAGCGACCCAGGCCTGCCAAGTCCCTGAACTGGTTTCCCAGCCGCCATCTTGTTTTTTAGTTCTGTGCATGTGCAGAACAATTTTAATTGAACTGTGCATGCATGCCCAATGCGCATCCAGTGCATGCGCATGAGCGAATCAGCCGTAAAGCTGGACAGAACCCATCTCTGAGAAGGATGCTATTACTAACATGGAGTCTTTCCAACACAATATTCTTCAGATTTCTTGAACTTTATTTCCTACAATTCTCAGCAAACATGCTAAAATTAGACAACTGGTGAGTAGCCTTAAAACTCCAGTCAACTTCATAGTAAAATATGCCAGAACTGAATAATTATTGGTTACAAAATGGAAATAGTATTTCTGGGTCAGGTGTACTTGTGATTTTTTTTCTTCAGTATCCCAAAATCAATATTTAAGGCCCAGCGTAATAATTAAAGTACTGATAATAATGAGAACTGAAATTTAAATTAACATCTTCCCATGGTAGGCATAAAGAAGCTTAAGAAAATTTCTTATGCCAGTTCTTCCATTTTGAGGCGCTAGAAGCTCTGAATTCCCAGCTTATATTGTTAATTTTATAAGAAATCCACTTTTCCTCATAACCTCTTTCATAATAACAATCTCAGATTTGTTTGACCAGAATGATACATTATAAAACAAAATACATCAATTTCCCTATATATTGCAAAATGTTGTTTTATAAATTTTGGAATTTAATCCAATGCCGGAGTATGTGTCTTTTTGCTACTTGTTATCTGTTCTATGTATTTTGTTTTTTCATGTTGGTAGGTCAAGTTTTGAATGTTCTGTGCCATTGTAAATGAACAATCTATCCAACTGAGGTGGTATTTTCATATGATAAGAGTAAACATATTAGACAAGCCTTAAAAAAAGTAGCATAATGACCTCATCTGCATAATTTATGTAATTCAGATCAAGGATTATCTTAGTCCAACACTCTTATTTAATGATAGCCCATTAGATGCTGAAGATCCATGTCATTTTAAAACATCCTTATTTTCATCAATAACTTACTCTGGCCAACCTTCTCCTGTAGACACAGTGAAAAGGGTAAGCAGTGCCCATAGTACATTGTCATAATGGAAATCATATTTCCTCCACTCTCGTCTCTCAGCCTTCACTTCATTGTTCTTCTCGTAGACTAAATATTCTCCTCTAAGGAAGATCGACAAAAATGTACAGAGATAAGTTTACACAATGGAGTTTAACAGTCTAATAAGAATCTTCTAAGATGTACATTAAATGGTCTCTTTGACAACATTAACATTCAAAGGAGATTGTGAAAAGAGGTGTTTATTATTTATTCAGGTCTCAAGATTGACTGAAAGATTAATCAAGCAAATGTCACTACTGTATAGCTACTAATCTGATGTTTGTCTCCCCAGATAAAAGGTAATTATGGGAAGATCAATTAATATACATAGTTACTTTATTTAAACTTTGAAACTATATTATTTAACTGGGAATGAAGCTGAATACATTCATTAGGATAATTTTCAATACAATAATTTTGCATTATTTTCAGTTGCTCCAGATATTTCCCCCCAATAAAGTTGCCAGGTCGCAAACCAATTCTTAGCAATTTGAAGAATCTAAAGCCTCTGGTTTTTACAGTGCTGAAAATGTAGACTGGATTGTTTTAAAATGTTTTTCTCATACAAAATTCTGAAAAAATAACTAAACACGTCTGCAATATCTTTGCCTAATTTAGATTTTTGAGTAGTAGTAGGTTTTCAGTACAGCAATAAATTGATTCCCTCCCAGATAAGTGTATGAGGACTTTATGGTTGCCATGGCAACAATAGGTTTGTTATTCCTCTATAAAGATGGTGCAATTAAAATGACTAGCAGTGATGGATTCCTTAGGGGATTTGGGTATGCCTTGTCTGTGGTCAGAGTCAAAATGTTTTGAACAGCAAAGGGCTGATTTATGCCCTTGCTTTAAAAAAATACCCAAATAGCTCTTCCCTAAACAGAGCTTGTTTGGCTCGCTGATATACTCAGGTTTAGAGAACAGAAACAGATGGAATGGCACCTTGAACACAAATGGGGCAAAAACTCAGGTCAAAATTAATCAACACAAGTGAGAATGCCTCAGATATTATTCTCTGGTAGTGATGATGACGAAGAAACCATCCCTATCTCAGTTATTTCTTTGAAGCGCTAGAATCTAGAGGAATGATTCAACTTCAATGCTTTGAGTTATTGTCTAATTACATCCATAAATTAAGGGATCCTTCTAGTCCATAGTTACCTATTTCCTCAGATGTTTTAAGACAAATTGTATTGATTCAATTCAATAAATGAACCTATTGAGAACATATTTATTGATAGTTTAGTAGCAAAAGGTCCAGGAATATTGATTGGGAAATAAAGGAAACTAAACTATCTAAATTGTAGTAAATGATTTAAATTATCCATGTCTGTAAATATTGCAGAGACTGTAGGAATGTTAAGGCAAATTATCCTTTACATAACATAGCCACTAGAGGGATGTTAAACCTGGGAGTAAGATGAGTTGTGTACTCTGATTTAAAAATGAATATAGTTGTGTGTTTTCCTTCCCTTTAAATACAGTTCATTACCGATTAATGAATCTATCACAGAATTAAGAAATGTTAGTATTTCATCTATGCTTTCTATAGCCTCTCTTGGGGAGGGGATTGACACTTGACCTCTTTTAAATATATTCCATCTCCTTAATTATCTCCTTTTACTAGCATTTGCTGTTCTGTACAGAAATGCAATTTTATCACTACACACTTGTAGTAAATTATGATGACTTCAAGAGAATAGAAATTTATAAACTGCAAGTATTTCCATTTATTAACTTTTTTATGGTTATGTACTTTTACTACAAAAACATTGGCTAGTTCAATTTACAATATAGTTCACTGCTACCAAGTTTTTGTAGTAATGCTTTCCTGTGAACCTTTAAAACCATGAAAATCATACATTTAAAATCACAACACAATAACCACTAGATCAGAAGTAATCATTAAAGAAAAAAAGGCCAGAACACCAACTCCTCATATTGTCTTAACTTGTATCCAGCAACTTAAAATGGACAGCATAATAGAGATAAACGTAAGAATGGAAGACTTTTTAAAGCATCTTGTACTTTATTGAATTAGATTATAACTTCAGGAAATTATTTGTTTTGTTGATATAGAAAACTGATGCAATGTATTTTGATACAGGCAAGCTATAAAACCTATATTATTAATGGGGGGGAGACCCTAATCAGGACATTACTCAATAACTTAATGCGATGGACATATCTAATACATCTTCCTACTACTTTCCCCACAACAAACCTGACAGGTGAGCTGGGCTGAGAGACAGTGAATGGGCCCAAGTTACCCAGCAGTTATTCATGCCTAAGGCGGAACTGGAACTCACCATACCTTGATTTCTAGCTGTTCTTTATTTTGTTTTAATGAGCAGCTAGAAATTCAGAGACACATCTGCAAGATGAGCAGCTATATAAATTAATTAAATAAATATCAGAAAATTATGCATTGGCAGCCAGTGGCTTGCCCTGAATGCAATGGCAATGTGATACAGGGAATTATGAAGGTTATATAACTTTATGAGTCACACAGCTTCTTATAAGTTACAGGCCTGGCCACACAGGGGAAAAGAATTGAATAAAAAAACTGAATGGGAGGAGGCTATGTACCTGCAGTCCTTTTCAAACTCCTTGGATTCATCAGTGCAGTAGAAGAACCTGCCCTTAAAGAGCTGGACAGCAACCACAGCGAAGATGAACATGAAGAGCATGTATACAATGAGAATATTGAGGACATTTTTGAGTGAGTTCACCACACAGTCAAAGACAGCCTGTGGAAAACAGATACACTTGTAAGATATGACTAGGTTATGTTTATCTGTATCTTAATTTTCTATCAAACTATCCCTCCTGCTTAAGAAATATGTTTGTGTGTGAGAGAAATACCATCATAGAAACAATCAAAATAAAATTTAGGCAACATGTATCCCTAAAATACCACTACTGAAAAGTAAATGAAAACAGCTTAAAATAGGCAACAGCAAATTTTCTTAACATAGAAATTTCAAACTTATTAAAGATTTAAAATGTATTTAAAAGCCATACTAATACAGTGAAAATGTCCACTGAATTCCATAATATATTCTGCAATCCTGCTGTCACCACCAATAAGATTATCCATTTAAACTCACTTAACAAAAGGGACAGTGCACAGTTTCTGATACCTGTCACAAGAGTCTGGAAAATTAATGTTGAAACTGTTCTTCAAGTAAATTGGTCCTAAGGAGGGCAACTTTTTTTTTTTAAAAAAAATCTTCACTGCTACCCAAATATCTTGCATAGATCTAGAGTTCCTTGACCAGAGTAGTAATTTGTCTTTCCAAAACAGAAATTATTTTTCAGCTGTATCCAGTTTACTAGTCACTGGATTTGTTGCAGCCAAACCAATAGTCTAAAACACCATGATAATGTTTTAAAAAATAACTTCAGTGGGCAGGTAAACACATCTATGGATGTGGAGGAAATATTTCTTTTTTTAAAAATGTAGAATGAGAAAGATATGAAAACAAGAATATATTGTCTATACCAATTAATTTACAGTTAGGAAAATATAATATTCATACAATGGTAATTCATAAAAAAACATTTCCTAAACTAGAGATCATTAGCTGCATGGAGATTAAAGTCAGCAGATTTCCATCCATCGCAGGCACCCAGGATGACAAGCCTTGATAATACTTGTTCCAGGGTACCATAATGCAAAACTCGCCCTTTTGTATTTGTATTGCAATGTCAGATGGAAGTACATAATTCTTATGGTTTCTCTGTGATATTTGTTTTGTTATTCCCCTGCCTATGTTCACAAGGTGAAAAAAAAATTGTGGATAGAAGCTTATGTTATACAGTAATAAATGCTCTTAGTCCTTTAAATGCTGCAAAATACTTTAATGATTCTTTAGCTGTATGATGAACTAAAACAAGTAAATTTATCCTACTGTGGAGATTGGGGAATTGTTTAATTTTTGATTATCCAAAACACAAGAATTCTTCGAAGAAAATTAAGTGCTATTATACTATCTCCTCTTTAGATGATAGTATGCATCAAATAAGTATGTGAAAGCTAATAAAGGAACCTAAGTTCATGCATTTTCATGAAATAGTGTGAAGCTTCAGGCTTCTTGCTTTATCTTTTTTTCAACTTACTATAGAATGTGTGTGTGTGTGTGTGTGTGTGTGTGTATAATATACATACACAAACAATATAAAGATTCCAGGGTGAGTTTTTTGTTTGCTTGTTTTTTACACTTCTATCCCAAACATACCTTGAGCTTTGGCAACCGCTTGATAGTTTTGAGGGGTCTGAGGACACGAAGGACACGTAAGGATTTAATGGTGTTGATGTCTTTTCCTTTACTGCCTCTGTAGAAAGATGTTGGATGGGGACAAAAAGCAGGAAAAAAATGAAGTTGGATCTCTACAATAATCTTGACAGTGTGTTTCCAAATACAGAGATACAATCTATTTTATAACCAAGATGCTAGTAACATTGTATGAACGCTACCCCTTTTGGCCATCCACACACTTTTCAACAATTGTTTCTTAAATAAAATGTTAAATAAAATGTTTACCAGTTATATCACGTCTGTTTCAGACATCAATTCATTCCCTCCGTTCTTCTAGTATGCTTTTGATTTCATCTATTTCTTTATCTATTAGAGCGCTCTTTCAATATCTCTCCATTAACCTTTTTTACAATCACTCCTTTAAGAACTGCTTTAACCTGCTTTAATCTAAGGATTTAGTACCCCTGTGGGAATTAGAGCAAGTGTACAAATACTTCAATGGAATGCATCCTTCATAATAGAAAAAAATAGTTGTGTCTAATTGTGAGTTCTCATAGAAAATTTTGACTTTGAATCCAGCTCCTGCAGACTTCATTGATATACAGTATCTGTGTAATTTCCTCAGTAACTGCTGGAAGAAATTTGTCACTGCCTTCTTTCATTCTTCCAGGATGATTCCTCCTGATTTTTCAGCCTGCCATAGAATTTCCTGATAGCCGTCCAGCCAAGAACAAAGCAGGGCTGAACCCAGAGTAAATCAGTCAGGTACTAATGCTATAACCTAGTAAAGATTTTGCTTTATAGCTCCTTTGATTTTTTTTTTAGTTGTCTAACATGAGATCCACATCCTACCGGATATAATTGCACCGGGATATAAAAAGTAATGTGCCTCTATTTTGGGTATTCATTAATAGTAGCTGATAAACAGGCTCAAAAAATTCCATTTCTACCAAACTCCCAAGTCTTCCCAAGATTCACAAATCTTGCAGCTGTGATGATGTGCAGCCTATCTTTCTATGTTGCATTGCACCTTCTGTGCTGATAGGTTCACTTCACAGACTCACCATGATTTGAAATATATGCATAAACACACACAGCCTCATTTTTACGCCACTTTTTTTTAAAAAAAAAACCCGTTATTTTCATTTGGTTGTGCATCTGAGCATATTGACACATCAAAACAAAAATGATTCCTTTTTCAGTTTATTGTGGGTTTTCCGACATTAAGCATAAAGAATAAGAAGAACTTGCACTTTGGCAATGCTTGAAAATATTTGGTAATATTTCTGCAGAAAAATCTATACCTCATTGTAAAGGAATATTCTGCTACTTGGAGGGATATATTCTAGGATTTAAGAGTCCAGTTTTGCAGATAACTTACACACTTACACATTACGATGAAAACAGCAGTATAAATCTTATTTTCAGATGTATTACACAAAGAGAAAAAGCAACTATATGCTTAAAGCTTCATTTTCTTCCCCTCTATCATGTCAACATGTTCAAAGAGGGGAAATGTGGCAGAAATTATTGTTTTCTGGGTCAAAATTTAGTTGCATGCGAAAATGAATATATATCTAACCTATTTTGCTGCATGACCAGAAAAGCCTTTGCATTGGAGAGAATTCATAGCTCATTCTGCAGTGGTCTGGTTTTTAGATGACTGCAGTATTTGCTTTTTAAAAAAATAAATGATTCTTTAAGGCCCATTTAGGAAAAGTATTTGGGTCAGTGGAGAGGGTGTGCTAGCGGTAAGCTATTGTGCAAACGTACCGAGTCTCCAATTATCTTTGTGGTTTCTAGTTTTAGTCTCAAACAAAACTAAACAAATTTCCCAGTCAATAATACACTTATGATGTATAAAGTGCTTGCCTAGGGGGTTAACTGTCCCTCCTGATGTCTGTGAGTGAATTACCAGAGGCTTATGAAAACAGGCCCACTTGGGGCATTGGCTCTCTGGGTTGCTTCAATATGCATTTTTTCACAGCCACACAGGAAACTAAAGGCCAAAAAGGTGGACAGTGCGTACTGTCCCCCTTGCCTTCCTCATGGAAGTGCCAACCTCAATCATGTCCCCATATATTTTGAATTGATGGGCAGAGGAAAATGAAATTCTCCCAATTTCCTCAGCAGCAGTTGTGGGGATTGTACCCATGGTTATTGGTGAACCAAGCCAGTCATACCAGGTGACGTGCTATAGGCTGACGAATATGAGCAACACCTGACTGGGACTGGGTTGATTGTGTTGTGCAAATGACCCTTGCAGAACCTTCTCTCCCAGGCTGAGCTTTATGAGGAAATTCCAGGAAGCTCATCTGAGCACAGCTTGCAGGCCAATAAGTTTCACACATAAAATACATGGACCCAATTAATAAAAGACCAAAAGGATAAACGTATTTAGATTCAGTCAAATTGCCTTGATTCCATCCAGTGGTCAATTTTACTCCAAGGTTGGAGAAACTAGTCTCCTTTTCTTTAATAGTCTATAAACTCAATAAATTAACTACATCTTCCAAATAAAGCTTCTGAAAAGCTAGCAAAAATTGGCTGAGGAATGATAGAATAAATTTATCAATTACTCATTACTATTGGAAAAACACATACAAAAAATATGAACCAATAATAGTTTTATGGAGATATTTGGCTCATTTTCATTCATTTTAGACATGAGTCCTGAGAAACATCAGGCTAATTAGTTGCTTCCTCACTCAAATACCACTTTAGACCCCAGCTTTCAACAAATTGTACTTGAATTGCTTTGGATGGCCATGTTATTTTTTGTATTTCCCTATGAACAGGGCTGACATATAAAGCCTTTATAGAACTTTTTTGAATGTTCCTAAAATCCCTAAGTTCTGACTCTTGTAGGCATAATGGCTTTGATAAGTATCACAATATTTCAAAGCCATCTCAACATTGATGCTTAAAGATGTGGGACATTTATTTAAAGGACACTGACATTCCTTCTGATGTCCAATAGGTTGGCAAGTGTTCAAGAATCTGGTTTCTATATGTAGCTTTTAAAACCTCATAGAATAAAGATACATTTAAAGCCAGCAACTCAGTTTTTCTAGTACTGGATTGACTTGAGAAATAAAAATAACTACATTATAAATATAGATTAAGAAAATCTATATGGCCAGAGACACTGGTTGAGGGGGGTGGCTATAGAAATCAGATTAATAAATAAAATGTCCAAGTATCATAACCAGACAGATAGCTATTATGACTGTAATTATTTCTCTGACCCTTTATCTAACTTACATTGTTGAATAGTGATGATGATGACAATGATGAAGATTTTACATTAATGTCAACCCAGAAAAGCAGTCTGGTAATACAAAGTATCTGGTTCTCAAAAAAAAACTATTTTTAGGATGGAAATATGTTTTTGACATTTGATTAAACACATATTTAACCATACTGTAAGATATTGTGATGCCTAGCAATAACATATTCCAGTCTGTTCCTTTTAGCAGCCTTGCAACATAATCTTCTCTTCAACATTGTTCTTCTCCTGCATAAATATTTAGTAGCTATTAAAAATAAGTGTTCAGAACAGAGAATGAAATATTTGATCGCAGAACAAAGGACTACCTCTGCCACAATTCCTAGCAATCGGAATTTTTTGACCAGACCCAACAATGTTCCAGTCACAATTGCTCGTGCTGAGGAGGTACTCTGGAATGTTTTTTTCAGTGGCCCAACAAGGCAAAAACCGACTACTGTATACCTAGTTCAAGGTCACTACAACAAAAGTGATTCCTAGAAAGTGTAACCTGACAAGAAGGCACACAAATCCTAACTCATGTGAGATGGAACAGAATCAATGAAATGTCTGATGTTTGGAGAGAGATAAAAAGAGCTCCAATTTGTTTTGCTTTCCAATCGTATTAGTTACATACAGTGATGCATAACCAGATTCACATAAATAAATAGCATGTATACCAGAGAGTGTTTGGGAGAGAAAGTGATAGAGGCAGACAGACAGAAAGACTTTACCGTGAGCTGCTCCTGTTGTGAAGTGGCAGTGAAAGGAAGAGACAAAGAAAGTGAGTAACAATCAGAAAGAGAACACAGAACATAAAATCTAATGATACCATACTATGTAATGCCTTTTACAGACAGGACATTAATTTGCTCTTCAGCTACTGCCTTGAAGAAGATGGAAGGAGTTTACTTCAGTAAATTATCTACACATGTATAGGTTAGTAAGATGAGTCTTCTACTATTGAGACAACTCTCCACTTGCATAGCGCCCAGCATCACTGATGTTTTTCATGTCCTACATCAAGGACAAACCTATTTATCTCTAAAATTTCTGATTAAAAATAAAATGGTGGCAAAAGGCAGCAACCATATATATACTGTTTAACCCTTAGCTAATATTTACATTGATTTTTATTTGAAATATTACCTTAAATCCTTTTCTTGAAAATTTTCACTAAATGCAGGGCAATTTCATAATTCTTTCATCACTAACCAGAAAATAAATCTTGATTGAGGAATGGTGTTCAATGGAAAGACTCTAAACTCCTAAGCATACTTAACAGAATAACCTTTACCAACTTGATATATTCCAAATGTCTTGGATTATTATACAAGTCCCAGAAAGACTTTCCCATTTGCATTTAATTGTGTTACAAATATGTTGTGCCAACATTGTTCTCTGCCATGTTCCCATGCACGGGGATTTCAGATATGGAGTTCTTAGTAGCACAAGTATTAAAGTAGTGTTCCCCCTCCCCCAATTCCAATACTGTTTAAAGGGAGAATCAAGGTATATAAAAGCTTTCTTACTCATTACCTTGTAGGGAATTGAGATGGCATGAAATGGGTCACCAGGCAATAGAAGCAAAGTTGGATTTAATGATGGGAACAATAAGTTTCATACTGGCATAGCTTTTGGCTAATTTAATGATAGGCAGAAAAAGCATCAATTAGCAAACGAGCCCTACATTCTAGAGGCAGCATGGCTGATTCAAGATTGTGAGAATTATACATGCACTGGGAAGGCAATAGGCTGGGGAAAGGTATACTTGAGATTGTCAAAACATAGTAAGTCTTATTTAGCAATAGCAGTAGACTTATATACCGCTTCATAGGGCTTTCAGGCTTCTCTAAGCGGTTTACAGAGAGTCAGCATATTGCCCCCAACAATCTGGGTCCTCATTTTACCCACCTCGGAAGGATGGAAGGCTGAGTCAACCATTTCCAATAGAAATGATAGAATCATAGGGATTTTGGAGGTCTTCAAGTCTGACCCCTTGCTCAGGACAGGAGTCTTATACTATCCCAGTCAAATGGTTGTCCAGTCTGTTTTTAAAAACCTCCAGTGATGAAGCACAATCCCAGGAGACAAATGATTTCATTCCCATTGTTAATTTTTTTTCTCTTGCTTCTGGATTTGATCTCTCTTTAGCAAGCTTCTACCCATTATTTCTTGCCCTGTTACCCAGTGTTTTAGAGAATAAGTTAATCTCCTCTTTATTGTGATAGCCCTTCAAATACTGGTAGATAGCTATTGTGTCCCTCCTAATTCTTCTTCTACAATTTAGCCTCCAAGCCCTTTAGTAGCACAACTGGAGGTTTATTGAGATTCTTAGCTCAAACCTGGAAAATAGCCATGAATAGTGCCTTATATTCCAGAATAACACCATTGAGGGATGGACAATAATATGAAGTACGACACAATACAAAACACAATAGTATATAGAATCATATAGAGTCAGGGTAGCAACACAGCAGATAATAGTATAGATGTTCTTTCAGTTAACTGAAATGGACTGATTGACTAAAAAAAAGCTATTTCTCACAATTGATAAACTCTGATGAAGTTGGTGAGAGTTAAGACAGAAAAATAACCAGATCCACAATGATCAAGGGAGCATGAAGGAAAAGATGTTAAAAAAGGTAAGATAAGGAAAGGTAATTTATTCTTTCAAATTTAACCATATTTGACCAGTCTTCAAAGTTTGCAGATCTTAGAAGATAACATGAGAATAAGATCTATTTCCATTTATATGTTGTTGAGCCTCACATTACTGATCAACCAATTCCATTTCTGTCATCTCCAACTGTACACACTGTGCAGCTGATTCACTTCTGCTGCTTTTGAAATTGAAACCAAAAGAAATACAAATTTCTTGCAGACTGGATTCATAGCTCACCTTCTTTTATCCAGAAAATATTAGGCGTCAAGTTTTACTATGCTAAGAGCAAAATGTTTCAAAATGATAATCATAGTGCTTATGATTCAGAAGAAATCATGAATCTATTCCACCTTATTAATTTCATAATAAGAAAAGATAGAAGAAGCAGTGGAAAAACATGGAGGAATAAAAATACCAGTTGCCAGTTTTACTCACTCCATGAATGACAAAGTGATTATAGAATAACAACTTACTTGGAAGTACCTTAAATTCAGAAGAAGGAATATTTATGGGAGCTTATTAGAACCAACTGAATTCTCACCACACATAACATTAAATAGGTAACTGCAAGAGCATTTATCCCCTTACAAACTTACTGGAGCTTGCTCATTACACAAACTTTGGACAGCATCTGACTCACAATTCTTCCTCTTAGGGCTGTTCTACAGCTGAGCCAACAGATATGCTAATTGGAGAATGTTCTGTTCCAAGTGCCTTCTGCTGCATCTCTTTTAATTCATCATGAAGCAAACAGAACCTAAAATTTGTCATAGGGACTACACATCTAGGGAAGCCTTGCTTAGAAGATGTGATCAACGTCAGCATTTCAGAAAATCACAACTTTTTCCATCTTACCATTTCTTGCCATTCCATTTTTAGACAATTCTCTGCACCTTTTTGAATTGAAATTCCATTTCTACTGTATTATAAATTAACCACCACTTCAATTTATTCTTTCTTAAAAACAATAGGCTTATTTTGGATTAATCTATAGAAACTCTGAAATAGTATAGGTCAAGCTGTCTATTAAATGGGTGTCAATTGTTTCTTATGAAAATAGAACAGCAAAAGGAGTTCCATTCAAAAGCCTTAGTTCGTTTCTCTCAGGTGACTTTGGTGCTTCTATTTATATTTGGATCAGGTTTACAAGTAGCACAGCTTGCTTTTTTGTCTAGTTAGTTACCCTTTGAATACCTTTGGCAAGTGTGGGTAAAATAGTTGTCTTCCTTGCCCTGGCAATGCTTAGTAGGATAAAAAATTTAGCTATATTTTACCATATTTCAGTTTGGTGTAAAATTTTAACCCATCTACTATGATTTAGCAATAATGTTAGCTTGAATCATATTGAAATAATGTGCCCAAGTATGTTTGACTTTCTAAAGTTAGTGCTACTATGAGGTAAATGGAATGTCCTCTAGTGCCCACACTGAATAGCAGCCCGAGATATCTTCTAGTGCCAGGGTACTTATAAAAACTTCATGGAGGAAAAACAATATCTTCTGATCAAATCCATCACCTTCCTTCACTAGCTCTGATAGATTGTGATAGCACATTGGACAACAGTGAAGAGATCCCACACACTAAAAACTGCATTACACTAGCTCCAATTACAGCCATCAGTGAGACATATTTTATCATTTATCCAAATCTCCCTAGTAGGAGATTTTGCTCCTACTAGGGAGAGATGTCATGTGAGTGTATAAGAGTACAAGACTGGCTGCCTCATTGTAGGAGAAGTCCATGTGGGCAGAATCTGCATGCCTGACAACATGCATGTCCACAAAACAAGGATGCTAGAGAATGGCTGGATTGCTTACTTCCAAGCCACAAGTACATGCTATGAAAGAGTATGTAATCAGATCTCTCTTAATATCAGATCATAGATCATTCCTTAAGCTTCACAGAGAACATCAACAAGAATTCAGAATTCAGGTTCTTATAAGTAGTAGCCAAACATATCTACTGAGCAAAATCTTCTCAGCATCTACTAGACAATACTAGAGAATGTCTCTTGTAGCACAAATGCAAGGAACTACTCTGCCAAAGGAAACAGCCTAGGCAAAGTAGGTGATCTTGCAAATATGTCATTTGATCTCCCCCTCTCTCCCACACACTCACAAACACCACACATACCCCACACGTATGACATTTACTAAAATATGAAAGTGCTTGAAAATGAACTAGAACAAACAGGTAGGGTGAAAAGTAAGACAAATATTTCAGTCAAAATACTGACTATATCAATCCAGTCAATTTTTGGACTTCTGGTTCATATTTTACTCTTATGATATGCTGTTAAAAAGGAAAATAAATAGGAAGAAACAGATATGTATGTATTTTATCTTCTAAGGTACTGTAAAAACTTGGAGAACAATTAATCAATACTAAAAAAAAGAAAGTCAAACCCTGGGTAAAATCTCTTTCTTTCTAAATACTGCAATGAAGAAACTGATACATATAGCCCTTTACCTGATGAGATAATCTTATTCCAACCTTACTGCATTTCCCTCCTATTTTCTTGCCTTTTCTATCTTTCATGGTCATTAAAGTGCAAACTCTAAACTAGTCAACAATTATATGTTTAAAATGACATTTATTTCTAAAGATCTACTTTCTGATTTTACAATTTGGTTCAGATGCATTAACACCTTAATCTCCTGAATTACTATCAACAGTGAAATGTTTTTATTATTATAGATCTATAGTATTGAATAATATTACGATTCATGATAGTTCCTTCAAATAATTTTATATTTTATGCTGGAAGGATAATATGTTAGAGGAGACAGTAAAGCATATGATGTATGTTTTCCACATTGTTCTCTTTTAGTTTACCATCTAGCATAATTTGTTGTTATATAATGCTGGTTAATGCTGGTTAAAGTATTATGATGTAAATATAGCTTATTCTAAATCATACACCAACATTTTGGAATTAATCAATACTGCGTGTAAAAAGCAATGAATTCATTGGACATGGAGCATAGGAAAACAGCTACGGTTTTAGATTGATGACATATGTTCTCGGTCTGCTTATGAATTGGTTTTTTAATGATGCAATAGAAAGACTGATCAATAAATTTTAACATGGCCATGTAATATTTTATTTCAAAATTGAAATAGAATATGTGTAATTTTTTTAGTATCTTTAAAAAATATTGGGTTTTTCTTTTAAATATTTAAAGCTATTTTCTTTTTAAAAAAATACCATGTACTTTGATAATAATGAATAAAAAACTTTTAGACCAGCCTTCCCCAACTTGGTATTTTTAAAGTCAGTACAGTTTGTAGGCCTTCCTGGCCAACACATGTTCAGGGCATGAGACTGGGGACAATTGTGTGAGATAATTCTTTCAATTTCTATTTTAAATTGGTCCAAGTTTCTCAAAATTATTTCTATAGCGGAAAGAAAATGGTGCTAATTTGTCCTCTAGAATTAGTCACTAAGGGAGCAATTACAGATTCAGTTAATGTCAAAGATATACCTTCAGAACCAGCAGTATAATTTATATGCAGCATTTTCCATCTCTAGTGTTCATATTTGCCATAGTGCCCTTGCATATTTTTCTCTTTGGCTCCCATTGTTTGGCAAAATAAATAAGGAACTAGGGCCAGGTTATATAGCTTCTAATGAACTTGTGGTAATGCAGAGGAAATAATAGGCTTGCTGAAACTGTTACCTGTTTAATTTTTTAATTTCTGTCATGGTATTCTGTAAACTATATTTTCTTATTACCAGAAGATTCTTGGTTATAACCCATGATATCTCTATTTATTGGAAAACTTTATAGACTAAATCTTCTATACCTAAAGTATAATGCCCAGTTTTAAGACAAACCCGGTAATCTGATGAAATAAGTTAAATATCAAATGAAAACTTCCTAGCTGCTTTCATGGAACCTAGAATAACCTGAATTTTGTAATAAATTTTAACTATTGTATTTACTGAAAAGGCGCAATAGCTCAGGGCGATGGCTCAGTTGACAGCCTGTGTTCAGGACCAGAATACTGCACAATAGGGTGAGTTCCTATTCCTGCCTCATCTCCTGCCCAACTAGTACTTCGAAAGCACTCAAATGTGAGTAGACAAATAGGACCTATGTCAGTGGTAAGGTAACAGCATTTTGTGTGCCTTTGGCATATAGTCATGCTGGCCACATCACCACCAAAAATGTTTTTGGCTAACACTGCCTCCCACAGTCAAGAAAGAGATGAGCACCACTCCCTTGAATCAGACATGACTGGACAAGGAAACCTTTATTTACCTTTATTGTATTTACTAGCTAGTAGTTAAGGTTAATGAGATTGATGGTGCTGACTGGATTGTTTTTTTTCAAATTCACTGATATACCAAGAGCAGACTACATTGATAATCATCATTTTCTTGATGATTATTACAATGAAGACAATTACAACCATTGTTGTTATTAGTTGATGATGGACTGTGATAAATCATGAGAAAACAAATACATCCTAAATGTAACATTCAGAAATACATGTTGATTCTGTATTTGATAAACAATTTCCACTGATCTGAAAAGAAAGTAGCAGAACTCTTTCTATAAATAGACCGACTCTTAGTTTTCACTCTGGATATCTATCTTGTGAATTTTTGGCACTGTAATCACAGAAAGCAGTATCACAACATATTTACTGAACAGAATATAGGAACTTATTGTGACAGCTAGGTTGCCTCAAACATTTGCAGAGTCAACTATTTTGCTAACAGTCCATCAGGAAAAAGTTCCACATGCAAGGACTATCCCAAGCCAAATGGGAGGGGGATTCAAAGCTGAGTATTCATGCTCTATATAGCTTAAGCTGGTATTGGAAGAGGGAACGTGATGAGGAAAAACAAGTCATATAAATGTTGAAAATTATAAACAATCCATCATGCATCAAACTTCAACAAGAAACTCTTCTAGTTGAAGGAGAAGCAGCTATGCATGTTCAAAAAATCAGAAGAAGAAAGCAAGCACTATAACCCTAGAGAGCTAAGAAACTTACGTGAAGGCAAATGCCACCAATGCTCCACTGACCACAATGAAATCCAGGATGTTCCACAGATCCCGAAAATAAGCGCCCCGATGAAGTATCAGTCCTAAGTCAATCATCTGCAAAAAACAAACAAAGTAAACAAATGCAGGCTTCTAAATCAGTACATATGAGTTTGATTAACTGCAGCCCTGAAATGTTCATTCTGAACATTAATCCAACAGGACCCACTTTGCAAAAGAGGAGGTGAAGGGCCAAAAATGAACTTTTTCGCAAGAAAATAAATACTAAGGATAAATTACAATACGTATGCACAGGACAAATAATAACAATATCTAGGTCAGAGATCAAAGTTCGACTTAAAGGCTTTTGTAATACATGAATTGGTATACTTGAGAATTGGTATACTAGAATATGAGTTTAATTACTAATGTTGTTTTCCTGGATACTTAATGTTCACAGGCATAATATTCCCTCCCATGCGTTTTATGAAGTTGGTGCTTCAAAATGGCATTTTAAGAGAAATGAATCTGTCTAGGATTTATGATTACTTCTCTTAACTTCTGTCACCTAGGAGCTATTACCCCACATTACGATCAGAATCAATATCACGCTATGAAAATATTCTTGAAGAGCTGTGCTCATTTTTGTGCTGCTAAATGTATCACTATAATAATATGGAAAATAGCCTTTAAATCCAGACGTATTTCAAAGACTATTATAAAAAGAAAATACTGGTACATTATTTCATGATATATTGACTCTCCCCTTTTTATTATAATGGAAATGTTCTGTCACATGATAATAATTTAACATGCACTGGAAAAAAAATAAAAAAAGTTTACTAACCTTAACAACCATTTCAAAGGTGAAGACACCTGTGAAGACATAATCAAAGTAACGAAGAACCTATAGGAAGGAGAAAAAATAATAAAAATATACAGTTCAAGACTTGCTAACTCCTTTGAAATAAATGAGCCTAACTGATCTTGCAATCAAACCAGTGTGAGTGAGCAAGTCTTGAGGAGGCATTCAAAAGTTTCAGGCAGCAAAGGAAAGACCCCCCCCACACACAGACATAATCAGAATCTCTGAATCAACAAATCAGTTTAGCTGTACTTTGGTCAGGAAGAATTCGTTTCTTTGTACAATATGAACTAATCTCTGCAATCATGGTGAAAAATATGAAGATGGTGAATGGGGAAAAGGGGTTTTAAAATAAGAACTTTCCAACGTGGCTTCTAGCTCCAAATACATGTAAACAGTACATTCACACCTTTGAGGGGCACTCAGCAGCTATCCTCAGCTTTCCCTTCTTGAATTGGCTAGTGTATCCTTCAGCTGGAGGGAATACTAACAATTTTTTTTTTTGTAAAGTCAATTGTATTTGGGGAGCAGTAAAGCCCCGCCTCAGAATCAGTGCAGAGGAATTAGGTGTGAATGTGGCAAAGGGTAACAGTGCTAGGCTATCTGGCAGAAGGGGAGAAACTGCATGAGGTGAGAACTAGTCTACTCTCGCAGCTCCAGAGGAAACACTGCAAATTGTTTTCACGACATTCTCCTAGGAGTAGGAGTCAAGCTGATAGTTGTTAGTCTCATGTGAGCTCACAATATTATGGAGACATAGGGAGGAGGAGTGAGTGACCTGAGATAACTGCCATTTCCACATGTGGAAAAGTTCTTAGGTTTAATCAGAGTTTAGATCGAGAATGTTGGGAGGGACCATCTTTAAAGAAAAAAAGAATAATTCTCTATTGATAAAAATAAACAAACTAGTAAATAATAGTAAAATAATAATAAAAATTAAGAAAAGAACCTTTCCTTATAAATTGGTGATACCCACATTGTAAGAAATAACATTGCTTTTCCTGTAAGAAACCAGACAAATGAACTGAATTTTTATTAGTCACATGGGGCAACATATTACATTGAAAATAAATGTCCTTTGTTTTATTGAAGAGCAGCATGTGTATATGTATGTGCGTGCATGTGTACATATGCACATATGTGTACACACACACACACACACACACACACACACACCTCTTTCTACAGTTGTCCTACATTATTATAGCGATTTGAATTAATTTTTCAATTAACGTGAATTGAAGTTATGTTGTAAGGAAAAGTGCTAATCCTATCATACATACTAAAAAAAAGTGAAAGCAGCACATTATTGATATACGTCTTCAAAGCCTGTGCTTTTCCTTATGAAAGTATTAAAATTTATACTATATTTTGATTTGACAGTTGTTTTTCCTTACATTAGTGCTGAATTTTACACTGTATGTTGATTTAATATTTCAGGAGACATGGTGGCGCTGTAGTTAGAATGCAGTATTGCAAGCTAACTCTTTTCACAACCAGGACATCCATACTGTCTGGTTCAAAGCTGACTCAGCCTTCCATCCTTCCGAGATCATTAAAATGAGGACTCAGAATATTGAGGGGCAATATGTTGACATTGTAAACTGCTCAGAGAGTGCTATAAAGGACATAACATCTATTGCTATCCCTTGATTTTTGAAGTTCCTAGGAAAAAGATTAATCTGGGGGGGGGGGAAGCAAGGTGATCTGTACATGTGAAACTGATTTTAAATAAATCAACATTTATTGAGAAGGTTTGCAAAACAACAGCATAAAGCGTATCAAATAAAGCATATAAAAAACATTTCAATATCAAATAAGGGCATGATAATCTTTAAGCTGAAGTTAAAACTAACACAAACAGGCTGCTCCCACAACAAACAGCATCTTTAATTTTGCAAAACTGAAAGTTAATCTGCTTTTTAGTATAACTAAAATCTCTTGCAGTCATTTTTAAGTTCACTCTGAGTCTTGAACTGAGGCTTGATACTATTTCTTAAGGTTACAAGAATGTTTATGCAACACTGATAATTGATTACATACCCACACACCTGCAAAGAGTGAAAGGAGAGACTTGAAAAAGAGAGGCAACTAGAGGCAGGAATATTTCTTTCCCCCTATGGAAGGGAGCAGCAATTATCAGCAGCAATTGGGACATTTTAAGGATGAGAAGGAAACAGGAATTGTATGACATTGGCAGGAAAAGGTCTGCAAGGATTTAAAAATCTCGCTGGAACCAGTTCCAAAGGAGACGCATCAGGCTGAGCTACAGATAAGCAAACAGCTCAGCCAATCAAAATACAAACATTCAAAATTGACACTGAATGTAAGATTATAATACTTATTGTCCAATATTTTTAAAAACATGTTTTCAAAATTAAATTATTTTACGTTATTTAAAACATCAACAGTACAAATTGATTGATTGATTGATTGATTGAGAGTTTATTTATATGCCGCCCTTTTCCCTGGGGGGACTCAGGGAATTTGTTTAGGGTAATGTTTTCATTTAACCAATGGCTAAGTACCATATTATACTGAATACATAGCGAGTATGTTAGACTATTATTTAAATTCCAAGCTTAAGGACTATTAAGCAAGAAAGCTTGGGCATAGAGTTATCCATTTGGTAGCAGTGGCAAAAAGGGCTGGGTTAGTTGCTTTGTTTACTTGTTCTCTCTGTCAAAATCGCAGCCACTTTTCTGCTTTGGATGTGCAATTACACTATACCATTGCCCTTTTCTGTCACCCAGAACCTTCTAATCTAGAGAGGGCTTAACTTTCCTAGGAGATGAATAACCTCTATTGTGTAATAATGTCACTGCTGCTTAGACTCCATCTGGTTACCCTTGTTTTTAGTTGGCGTATGGTGCCTGGGTGTTTGAGTTGCTTTTTCCACATGCCAACATAAAGATTTCTTATTGCTGCCTAATGCAGAAAGTCTGCTTCCTACCCATCCCCCTACTGAGATGCTGTGCTAATTATTTCATTACTATTTCCTTAGGGATAGCTCATAAGACCTGTTCAGAAGTTCTTGAAAAAGAAAGTGCAGTGTAAGATGCTCAGAAGCCAGCCTCTGATTTATTGCTTTCTCTCCCTTTCTATCCATTGTCTCCTCTTTAGTCTATTTAAATAGAAGCATGACTTTTGAGCAAGAGAAATAAGAAAAGAATTCAAGCTTTTACAGAATACAGTCTAACAAGTATAGATTTAAACAATTTCAGCCTAATTTGCATTCAAGGAATACTCTCAAAAATCTAAGATATACATTGGGCATTTAAATATATCCCTGTCTGAAGTAAGTTTTAGTAAATACATAAGAAAGAACCAAAAGGACCTATTGTAAAAAGAAACAATGTTAAATTCAAAAGGACTTGAGAAAATTGTATTTTAACACTGATATAAATTACACTGGCAAGTTATTCTATCAATTTTATTTTGCTAGAAATTTGCACAGATGTAGATAGAAAAGAACATGTGATATGATTTTCAGTTGTAGCTGTAATTAACACATTTGAACCCTACCTCTGAGTGATCAAGAATTATCTTGCACAGTGAAGTTATTACAAAGCCAAAATAATAATCTCGGATCTGTGATCTATGTAGAAGATACCAGAATCCAAGTCAATTGGTCACAGGCATTTGATCTTAATAAGCTCCTATGTGTGATCATGATTCTTATCTACAAGGAGCAATTGCTTGGTTGCATATTATGTGATAAACATGACTTCACAAAACGAAGTATTGCTCTATCATGCAGAAATGAAGTTGATTCCCCCCTCCCCAAAGGAATAAACTAAGAAATTAAAAGCCCTCTCTCTCAACCCAACATCTTGTTTGCTTCTTTGGTAAAACTCCTATGCAGGAAGATGTCTTACTGGGATACTGTCCAACTTCACTCTGGGTCAGTATCAGCAAACACAAATTTGAAATAAACGGCCGATGGTCCATCAGTATTGAGGAAAGACTAAACAAATACATTTAATGGCTTAAGAATATTTAGTTTGGGTGGAGATTGCTGAAAATATTTAAAAATATACTTTGTTCCCTCTCATGTGCTGCACATTTTAGGACTACTAATACTCTATTAGTTTTAGTATTCCATGATTCATTTTCATGGCTCGGAAATAGGAGAACAGGAGCTGCAATTTATGTATGCTGCACCAAAAGAAATAAAGGAGGACTTACATTGTTACGAGGAGCACTCGGCTGTACAGGATCTTCAGCAGCCAATGCAATGCTGCTCATGGCAATCACCATCAGAATGCAGATCTCAAAGTAGCGCAGATTGACAATGTAATGACAGAGGCGCCGAAAACTAGCACAAATAGGCAAAGATGCATTAGGGAGCATCATGCATGAAGCAGATATGTAGTTTTCTCTCACTGTGTCAGATAAAAAGACTGGGGCCATCAACACCACACACTAAATTTGGAAATCAATCAGGGTAGCGTATAAATGTTTGTTAATTACTGTCTCATAAACTAAACCACTGTATGCTTTTAAAACCGATTTTAGATTATTCACATAAACTGAGTCTCATTCTCAATCCAAGCTAACAACCTTGAACCCAACTCACATTCTGACAATCTAATCTATATCAGAATTATTTAAAAAAAAATCAAATCAACACATAGCCTGTTGAATCAAGTATTCCACATAGACAATTTTAATCAAATGGCATCAGGGTTGAACCACCCACTTCTCTGAGATTCATCAATTCTGAGATAACTTGCCTGTTGGTGAACCATAACTACAGTGACAATATGTTCTTTTATTATAAAAGACAATATTTTATTTCAGAAAGTTGTCTTTCACATTTATTTCATTTTTAATTTCCTTGGTTTTGTTCTTGACTTTTATTTTGTAAAGCAAAGTTTTAAACATAATTACTTTTTTTTATCCTTATGAAGGGGAAAACCTCTTTCAGGTTTTCCCCTTTTCAGATCTGCCCTTTATTTTTTCCCAGAAAATATAACCATAACCAAAATTAAGTCACAATAAAGCAGTTTTTTTCCTTTCTCCACTAGCCCTCTTGGAAACAGCGGTGGGTGGGTATTGAAGGGCAAATCCTCATCCCACCCTGGCTCTGGCTAAATAAAACCAAATCACAAATTTTGGAGTCAATAACTCAACCCTGCTAAGGCAGGTGATAGAACGCAACCAGTTAATTTCAGGATCAAAACAAAAAATAAACTTGATTAACTATACCCAAATAAAATAAGTTTATATTCATACAGTTTAAATTCTAACTATAACACAATATATTTCTACCTTGTCTGAGGTGACTCCCTTATCCAGGATCTCTGTCAACACTCAAAACAAAAGAACTCCAAACTCTTCACCTGGAGCCTTGATAGAACCCCTTTCTTTTCTTTCATTGGCCCTCAGGGGTCAGGCAATTACCTCTAGGCACTCTCTGGGCATAAGGCGGGCTCATGATTTAAATGCCCAGCTGTTCAGCACTGCAACAATGCTATCAGTTTTCTAGATACCTGTTCTTGATTTAGAAAATCCATTTGCTATCAATTCAGTGTAGTAACTTACGGATTAGTGGTTGAGAGGATGAACATAGAACTGTATGGTGGCATAGGCTTGGGCCCATCTTCACCTCCCTCATCATCATCTTCCTCTTTTTTCTCTTCCTCTTTCTTTGGCAGAGGCTCTGGATTGGCATTCTTATTGACTGGTAACAAAACCAAATAGAACATGCAAAGTACAACACAGAGTTGTGGATATGCAACTAAAAAACAATGTAGTGATCACCCTATATACTGGAATATCCATTCAAATATGTAATTGAGAAACATAAAGGGGTACTGCCTCCTATCATTCAGTCAAAAATACAAAGACATCTTTACTAGTACCCTAAGTTATAGTATTATTAATAGATATTCACTGTGCTTTTAATACACTTCCTCTTTTATACCCACACTGAATTGTTCCCATACGGTCTCTTAATTTACAGGATCAAATGCATATGAGTCTCTGCCTGATGTCCATGTCACCTGGTTTTAAGTCTACTGATCAAGTACACTTAGTGCTCACCTTGCATTATAGCATTATTGATTGGAGGTGGGAAGGCAGGTGGAATCTCCACTGCTGTGTATTCTGATTTCTTGGCAGTTTTGGGTGGATTGTTTTGGGTTGTGGGATTAGTGACAATAAGGCTGTTCTCTGGATTTTTAGGAGCTCCAGGACTGGCTGGATTGGCAGGGTTACTGGGGGTTTGGCGACTGGTAGAATTCTGAGAGTTGAGAAATGGTTGGTCCAAAGGAATAGGTTGATTTTGGGATGTGCAGTGTGGTGTGGAATTTGAGTGGTTTCCTCCTTTGATAGGATCATTCTGAGAATGACTGATGAGATGTTGGTTTGAGGTTTCATTGGTTGCCAATTTATTATTCTTCATGTTGTCAATATCCTCAGATACTGGAGGTTCTAAACGTCCCATATCTTGCTGAATTGGCCTTGTGGTAGATAGGTTTGGTCCTGGTGGATGACCAGATCCTTGGTTTTCTCTGTAGCATATTAAGAAAAAAGTAAAAAGTTAGCAACATATTATTTCTTAAATGTCATAGAATAGAACCAATTTCATTGTATTTAAGTACAATGACAATAAAGATTATACTTATATTTAAATACAACTAATATGGTAACATAGAATATTTTAAACCATCAGGTTGCTATTAGTCTCACCATACTCCAAATCAATACCTGGAAGAAGCATTACACAAACACTTTCTATTGCTAAACCTACATTTTAGGACCCAGATTGTTGGGGACAATTTGCAAATAATGCTTCTACATTGTAAACCACCCAGAGAGTGCTGTAAAGCACTATGGCATGGTAATAAGCTTAAATGTCTTTGCTATTTTCTTCATCCATGGTCCATTTTCCAATCCCTCTTAAACACTTTGAACAGGCATATATCCATAAAATGAACTCATATTAGCAAAAGGTGACTCCCACCTTTATAGATTCATGGGAATCCTGCATGCATGTATGAAATACTGGCTGTACAATAATTCAACTGTATGTAAACTAAAGGGCAATTGTTGGAATAGTACCATGCATGCATTTGTGTGTAAATTATACATACTCTTATTGCAAAATCAGATGTTTTGACTCAGGGGTTCTCAATCGCCAGGCTGCAGCCCAGTAATGGGCTGTGGCCTGTTGGAAACTGACCCATGCAAGTGGTTTCTGTGCATGCAAAACCATCCCCTCTACCCCCTTGCCAATGATGCTACTGGTCCACGGACTCGGAAAGGTCGAGGACCACTGTTTTAACCAGTAATCCATTTATCACCAAAGAAGCTTTATCTCTTTGAGATTCTGATCAGTTCTCATGTAGGAAATTTGACCAACTAATCTCATTCAAATAAAAACTTCTCCCTAAATCTCAAAATAATTATTTAACCTTTTATAAGAACTTGAGTTGGTATTCTAAAGTAATTGTAAGGAAATTATTTGGCATGATTGCAGAAGCCCCCAAATGAGGGCATCACCCTCCTGTTCTTACTCACTTCCTGCGTCGGTGTCGGCGTTCCTTGCCATCGACTTCATAAGTGGACTGTCCAGCATGCCGGTGCCGTCGGCGCCTTTCTCCATCAGGATGTTCCCCACCCATGTCAGTTCGTACAGGTCTGCTCCCCTCACGATGCCGAGGGCGACGTTCAACTCTGCCACTCTGTTCACCATTTCCATCATCTGGTGTTCGGCGGTGTGTTCTATGCCGCCGGTGCTCCCGTTCACCATCTACCGTACGAGGTGATCCACTCTGACTTTCTTTGCTACCTTGGCGCCAGCGATGGGGATCTATATTTTTGATGCGCTCTGAGGCACAGTCACCATGATAACCCTGCTCTGGAATGACACTACGCTCCTGGCTGGGATAATCAATATCATGACATCTACTTTCTTGATTAAAGTCAATTTCCTTGCTATTGCTCCTTGGGTGTCGAGGCTCCAAGCTTCCTGAGTCGGGACGCTCATACAGGTGGGGTTCTCGTGAATGTGCATGGTAACGGGGTGGTTTTCGTAGGAATTCCACAGACCGTTGTTGCCCAAAGTGGGGATTCAAGGGTGGCTCATTGGGACGTGTCTTATTGGTGTTGTTATTCCGATTTTCTTGAGGATCTACCACCAGTGGTCTGTCTAAGTGAGTTTTCATGTCTGGACGCATTTGCCGGGCATATGCAACTTTCCAATGATCCTCAGGATCCATCTCATTGTATAGGGCCTCTCTACTTGCCAGCAAATTCTGCTTCCGCATTTCAGTTGTCCGCTGTTCCCAAACAGATTTGTTGCCTTTTTGATTCTTTTGCTGCTCTTTCCTATGGGGGAAAAAGGATAGATTTTTAAAAATGTTCTCTGTGCAATAACAGCTCTGCCTAAACCCAGTATTTCCTACCTTAAGTCACTTTGGAGGTGTGGACTTTATTCCTAGAATTGTACAATTAGCATCGCTATGGTTAAGGAGTGAGAGGTTAAATCAGTACAATTGAAGGGCTTTCAGTATCAGATTCTCAAGGAGGTCTAATATTCTTGTTGGGGTACTACACTATACTGTGTCATCTGTACCCAATCAATATTTTTCCCCAGAACATCTAGTTTATACCTTCTTAGAAACAATGTAAGCCAGAAGAAAATGGAATATGTAACCATCTGTGAATTAGGCTTTTATGACCAAATATATTTCAGCAATTGTACCCTTTTTTGGTCTGCTGCTGAGTTTTTGTAAACTTGATAAAGTAGTGGGAAAAAGTGGGCAGATGAAAGCAATTTATGCAAAAATGGTAAGAATTTTCTAAATAAATGATTTTTACTTTGAGACACAATTTGTTTTGCTTTTTCCTGCACACATTTAAACTCTAAAACGACATAAATGCAATTCTTGGTCCCAAAAGGTTGCACATCCATAAATACCAATGTTGGTGATTGTAATTTCAATTAAAGTTGGTAACAGTGTCAATGAGATGTTTAGATTGGACTTGGCATTTTTTTCATTTTTACTGATACTAAGCTGATCATCAAAGTCTGATGTTCCAGAAGATAAGTGACACAACTTTTCAGCTGGATGTTTTATTGACATGACTTGAAGCAACATGCAAGGGCAGAGAAAATACTTGGTTTATGAATTGCTCCTGACCTGCCAGGAAAACTGCTCATGAATCCAGATACGTACAACCATGTTCAATATTATACTAATTTGAGTTGCAATAGAGAATCTTTCTGTCTAGGTTTAAGAAACTAATAAATAGTCATGTGTCTTGATTCTTACTTTGTACTGCCTGCCGTTATGGGATGATAAATAGAAATAATTTGGGCTGCAGCATACTTTCCTGCCTCAATTCTCCCTATGTACCCCACACTTCTACATATATTATGAAAGACCAAGATTAGGAATGATATTCCTCTATAATCTGTCCCCCCTTTTTAACAGAACCTCAAGTACATATATTGTCTCGTGAGACCATTCACTAAGATCCAGAAATGAGCATTAATCTGCCTTCCTTTGCAGAAAACGTAAAGTAACATTGGACAGAGCACTTACATTGCTATTGACATGTTGGTTGCAGAAAGAGGACTCACTTCTGCTACCTCCTTCGCCTTCTGGAGGGCAAGTTTCTGGTTAGCTGCTTCTTCTTCTTCTTGTTCATCCTGCGAAGGCCATATATTAGAGAGAATCTGCTAGTGTCCTTATCCTTCCTACTGAAGCCAAGAGCCATTCTTCTGTTTCATGGTGTATCTATTGCTTTGAATATGTGGCTACATGCTATTCAGAAAATAATGTATTTCTTAATAATGAGCCCTCTTAATAATGTACTTTTACAATTCAATGAAGTAACTGCATTTCTTCTATGATCACCAGTATATGCTATAGAAATAGTAGGACAGATGCAAAATGAGAACAAATCGAAGTATTTATAAAAGAGAGAGACAGCAGCATAAAACCTTTCTGGCATTAACAAATATAAAGTGTAAATGTAAAGTTTGAATTTGTCTTCATGTCTTGCTTACTGCAGCACAAAAATGGCTTGCTTATTATTTTTCAGGAATATCTCCTCATGACATCACCTGTATTTCACTGCTAGCCTGCTGTGGAGGCAGCCAGATATTGTTTGCTGTTGAAGAGGGTTCCCTCCCCCCCCCCACTTCTCCAGTAATTGCCGCTTTGAAACTGTCCCACATTAAATTTGTAAGAACAGCACAGCTTCCCAGCCTCGTGGCTGAGGCACAGTAAAGCTTACATTGTGTTGACCTATTTTTGGGCTAAAAGAATGGAAGGAACTCATGTGTAGCTTTAGATATTTTTTTTCAGAGCAGCATATTCAGACAAGAGCTAAACCTTCACTACTGTGAAGCTAAACAGAAAGTGAGAACTTAGAACTTCATAAAACACAATCACCTAGCACAAAGATTTGATAATTTGTGTCATATAATTTATGCCAGAGTTTAGCAATAAAAAATCCCATGTGCCAGGTCATCTTTCACTAAGTAATCTTTAAATTATAATTATATTTTAAAAAATAGCAGAAACCCATGAGATTATTAAGACCTGGAAGGTTTGAGCAATTTTTCATCACTGAATGAGAGTATGCCGAAATTTTGCATAAAATTCCACAAGGTTTTAGCATTCTTACATGAGACTTTGTAAGACCTTGTGGGTCTTGAGTGATAACAAGGGTGGGGAGGTGCCATCATTTGCTCTGAAAAAAATAGCAATCTTTGGACAGCAGCAATTAATATTGGATTGCAAAATCCATGTCCCTCTTGAAGAGTGTGGATGTCAATCCAGCAGCCCTACAATTCCATGCATATAGCAATACACATGTGGTTCATGGAGAACAATCAGACAGAGATTAAATATGATTGGACGTAAATGTGTATGTACTACTGGGTGTCATCATCCAACATGACAATGCTAGCTTTGAATGGAAAGCCACTGATTTATAGCTGGGTTCAATGGATGGATTAATAATTCTTTCTTCCACTTCAATAATCATATTTAGTAAATAAGCATTCCACAATCTCCTGTCCATTGCTAGAGAAGTAGTCTTACCTTGGTGAGCTCTTGTGCATTGGCCAAATTATCCACCGCAATAGCCAAGAACACATTGAGCAAAGTGTCTAAATGTTGAGAGTTAAGGTAATAGTAGAACTGTTCATGATCTAATTTCAGTTTATTTTAGAAAATAAATTCAACACCTTCAATTTGCTTGTAGGCCTCCCCCCGCCCCAAGGATTGCCCAGAATTCATTGAATTTAATTACTCAAAATGAATTGTTATTTAACTGTCAGATTCCCCACCCCCACCCCCAAAGCTCTCCAAGAGTGCGCTGAATGACTTAGAAGTCAGGTTTTAGTAACAGTGCTTGACTGCTTGTGATGGCCTTTCTTTGTCACAAATTAAATGAAATTAATAACTAGCTGAACTCCTATCTTGGAATCTTGAGCATTGATGATATGTTTAAAAAGAAGTTGCATTCCTTTAGTTGCACTACTTAAAAAGGAGCAGAATTCTCTCATTGATTTGAAGAAAGAATATTTCTCTAGCTGTGCAACACATCATCAAGATGGAAGAATCACCTATCGTATTTTTTGAAGTATAAGATGCCCCGGAGTATAAGACGCACCAAGATTTTGAAGAGACAAATTTTAAAAAAAGTTTTTGCACTCTGCAGACCTCCCCAAGATGACCAATTTTTCACGAAAACGGCCCCGTTTTTTTTTTCCTTCAAAAAAAGGGCATGAATAACCTTTAGGAGGTTTGTAGAGTGCTCCTGGAGGGGGGCAAAAAATGAGCAAAAAACAGCTCGTTTTTTGCAAAAATGGGCCCATTTTTGTCAAAAAAGGAGCATAAATAGCCTTTAGGAGGCTTATAGAGTGTTCCTGGGGGCTGGGGCAAAATTGAGCAAAAACCGGCTCATTTTTCGCTCATTTCTGCCCTCCTCAGCCCCCAGGAGCACTCAGAAAGCCTCCTAAAGGCTATGCACAGCATTTTGGTGAAGGGGGGGGGGTTCAGGAGGCAAAACAATGCTGCGTTCAGTGTATAAGACGCACCCAGATTTTCAGCTTCTTTTTTGAGAGAAAAAGGTGCATCTTATACTGTGAAAAATACTGTACTTTGTACTGTAGCAATCACTGGTAAGTGCTTTCCATGCCTAATTCACAACATAATCTCTAAAATAAAATAATATATTTTTTGTAAAAGGATACAGTTACCAAACAAGGTCAGGACTATGAAATAGATTGAAAACATCATTCCTTTATCAACACCGCCCTGAGATTGGATACCATGATACATCACTTCATTCCAGTCTTCACCAGTCAGAATCTGAAAAATTCAATTAATTATGCCAACCCCAAACAAATTTTATAGCATTTATAAAATTGCAAAGTGGAATGAATATTAATCAATTGGGGAATTCAATAGAAAGCATGATTATTACATGTGAAGAAGGCCAGAATTTAAATGTAATATTGTATTTGGTAATACTAGACAAGTTCCACCCTATCTCTATTCTTCCCTTTCAGAGGAAGGGTTAAGATGAAGCTATAAAGTTCTAGTAACTGGATTTTCTGAACCTTTGCTATAAACTCAGGCATCAAGCAAAAGCATAAGTACGTAGTTCCAGTCAAGGATGATGGGAGAAAATACCTCAAACTCCTGAATATTTAGTTTTCTCACATTTCTCACCCATCTTATTTAATAGTTATGTGAAACTTCTGGAAAATGCCATCTGCTGATATTGATAAGATATCATCAGTATTCTGATATACCTGAACTGAATAGGAAGATGCTGTACTGTAGCCATCCTGCCTTAGATTCTGGAACTTGCAAGAGACTGGTTAGGTTGAAAGAGGTTCAAGTTGCAAATCTGCAAAACACAGTGGCTGATTCTTCACAAATAATTTGGCTTCTTATAGAAGCTCCAGCTTTGGCTCTGGCTCTGGCTCTTGAAGGAGCGGGTCCATGATCCAGAGATTTTCATGGACGCCTGGCTCCTATTGGAACAACGTAGAGATCATGGCAAGGAAAACATTTGCCCGGCCTTGATTAGTGCACCAGGTTTTTAGAGCCTTGTGCTCAGCTACAGAAACTATGCCCTCATCACCATATACCTGGCTATCAGTGGTGAACCTCTTCTGTAGGTGTGCCCTGCTTTGTGGGAGTGGCTTGCCACCATGTGACCAGGTGGGAGTGCCTTGCCAGCCATGTGCCTGGGTGGGTGTGGCCAACTTGTAAAATGTGGTGAAACTCACTTAACAACGCTCTTGCTTAGCAACCAAAATGTTGGCTCAGAAACTCTGGCATTTGAAGCACGTAAGTCTTAAAGCTGTCAAGTTACAAGACCCTTGCACCCCTAACCCTTTAGAAAAAAACCCAGGGGTGTTCAAACTTGACAGCTTTAAGACTTGTGTACTTCAACTGCCAGAATTCCTCCTCCAGTCATGTTGGCTCATGAACTCTGGCATTGAAGTGTGCAAGTCTTAAAGCTGTCAAGTTACAAGACCCTTGCACCCCTAACCCTTTAGAAAAAAACCCAGAGGTGTTCATACTTGACGGCTTTAAGATTTGTGGACTTCAACTCCCAGAATTCCTCCTCTCACTCTTCATCTTGATGATGTGCAAACAGGCGGGGGGGGAGGTAGCTGGAACTGGTTCTAAACGGCACTGTAGGAACCTCTTCTATAGAAGAGGTTAGAACTGGCAGGAACCCATCCCTGTTGGCTATTGCAAAGCACTCTACTTTGGGTTGCCTTTGAAGAATTATTCAGTCAGTTCAAACAGACTAGCTGATGAGAGGGAAACTAACCTCTCCTTTGGTTGCTACGCTACTTCCGCATACAACTCAAAGTGTTATCACCAATACACTCTATGCAGTACAGGTTCTGATTATCTGTGGGATTACTTGCTCCAAGTAGCATCTGCTTATTCTCCCAGGCCTTGGAATCAGGTGGCTGGGAACCCCCTGTTTGTAGTGTTTTTATTTTGGTGAGCTGCCCAGAGTTGGTTGGAAATCACACTGCATCTAACTGAATAACTAATATTAACAAATGATAATACATGTCCTGCATGTTTGAGCTGTGAATATATGCTGCTTATTTTAAGTCCCTGGGAGATTTGCCTTCTCTGTAGCTGCCTCAACTTTGATTCTAATGTAAAAAAATTGTGGTGGTTATTGACATAGTTAGCAGCTAATCCCCCCCCCCCATTTTATTCTTCTATGATTTGTAATGCTATGCTTTATATAATACAGTAAGTGCAAAGTTCTATGATTGGGATAGCATAAAGATCCTAGAAATCAGGCCGCATACGGCCCATGCAGGCCATACCCACCCTGGCTCTACAAAGGCAAAAAACACCCTGATACTTCACGATACAGCTTATGATCATGATGTGATCGGATTTGACACCCCTGCTATAAATCATATTTATTTTAGCCCAGCCACTATATTTTTGAATGTTATTACCAAAATGCATTTCAATTTCCTTTATTATAATGCCAATTCTTTATTTATGTTACAATATTTAGAACATTTCCCAATCCTAAACAAGCTCTGAGCAGGAATCAGGGCTTGATGTCATTTTTGTCTCCTTTTTTATCTACGGTATAGAACACTCTCTTCCACAGTCTTAAGAAAATTAAACCAATCCAGACATAAAGTATACAGCTGAAGAGATACTGTACAAACTAAAATGAATATAATAAAGAACACTTATAATAATTTATTAAATGTATATGCCACCTGCTTCCCAGCAACTCTGAACGGTTTACAAATTGTTAAAAAATATTTAAAACAAGAAAACAACACAAAACAAAAAAGAGCAAAGAGGTTGGTAGAGATAACCCAGATAAGAACAAAGGGGAAAAAAGGAAAAAGGCATTTCAATCACACCAGCCAAAGTCCTAGGTGAAGAGCCAAGTCTTCAAGACATTTTGAAACACTAGTAGGATAGGAGCCATTTGAATCTCAGAGGTGACCTCATTCCAGAAGGGGCTGGGGGTGGGGGCGGGGAAGGGAATGCTGCTACAGAGAAGGTGCACTTCTATAATCCAGAGACATAGTATAGCTTAACTGAAGGAATCCAGAGCATGCCAAACTATGCAGGGACGAATGGATTGGGCAGATTATTATAGGAATCAGAAGTCAAAAACCAAGAAAGACACATTGAGTTCTCTAATTGTCTCTTTATTGTTCCTCACTTATAGAAAGAAATCTTGCCAAATGAAAGCAGGCTACTTGCACTATGAAATATGTACTCTGAGAACTATTAGGGAAGCCCTCTAAGCTTCCCTGTTTTTTTGTTCCTCTGGAATACACACTCACCCTTCTGGGGAATCTGGGCTACATTCCAAAACAATATGGAAGGCAGACAGTCCCTTATGTGCAGTAACTAAGCCCCATGTAGGGCTTTATCAAGTAGCACCCAACACCCCGAATTGCACCTGGAAGCAAACTAGAAACCAGTGCAACTCACAAAGCAGTGAGTATGAGCATACAGAGGCATGCCCATCATTGCCCATGATTCTCCCTGGAAGTTAAGATGGCAAATGCAATGGCTAAAGAACAATGTTTGTGTCATAATAAAGGTCAAGTTTTTCTGACATATAGTAAATGTGTGTGATATATTACCCTAAGTGTACTGTCCACTGTTTTCCATATCTATCTATCAAAGCATGAGAGGTAATTAGAACAGACAGGAGTGACAACACATACCATTTTTTTCAGAACCATTAGCCCAGTTCTATGGGGTTAGTTTAGTTACAGTATGCAACTACAATGCAAAAGATAAAAAGCAAGGTATAATAATAAAACATTGCACCAGCAGCAGCTGCTGATCTCCTCCCCCAAGCAGCAGTCACTCCAAAAACTAGCTGCCAGTTTTGTGAGTAATGTTTCTGCTTGTCCATATCTTTAGCTCATTTAAATCAGGGGAGAATCTGTGGAAACTACAGGGAAAGGAAAGGAAAAAACCACTATCTGAACTTCTGTGGAGTAGATTTGCCTCATGTGTAAGATTTGTATCAAAAAACAAAACAAAACACCAACAAGTCAGAGAAACAGCTTTCCCATCCCCCTTCTTACCTGAAATACTGTCATTATTGCTGCTGGAAAAGTGTCAAAATTGGTTGGTGGGGTTCCATCATCAAAATTGAACCTGTATAGTAGAAGTATAATTTTTACTGTCACTGTAGTTAAATACAATGAAATTGGTTGGGGGATTAATGTGATAAAAACAAATTATAATCACATATATTACATTATTTTTATTCTTCTGTTCTTAGACCACTCTATACCTGATACCTTGAGTGGTATCCATCCTCCAGTGCAAATAGATGTATGGAGATGGGGTGTAGGAAAGCCCAGGTTATCGTAAGATAGAATTAGGAACTTTCTCAAGCAACTGATTTGGGATATTATAACACGGTACAAATTAGACAAAGAATGTATTGTGCTTTTACTACTAGGGAGGAGGAAAAATGCTTGTGGCATTTTTCTGCTTTGGATATCATGTTTTTTTTTTGTTTAAGAGGATGCCACTACAGTTAAATTTATTCCACATTCTATGCATTCATCTGTATTACTGCATGTCTGTAGGGGAAGGTGAGAAAAAAAGGAAAGTGATTATATCCAATTAAAATATCATTATAAGCATGGATAGTAAGTATAGGTTTAAGCATTGGGGTGGGGGCAGAAAAATTGAGATAAACAAGCATTTGTTGTTTTTGCATGCAATGTCTGTAGCATAAAAGGTCTTGAGCAAAATAATTTTAGGAAGCAGGCTAAGATCCTAGCTATCTCATGTTTGTAAAAATACCACTTTCCTCTACATTAGAAAATATTTTGCTCACACTTAGGTACTTCCAGGGTGTAAAGATACTTAATCATAGATTATTGGGATATTAAAAAGCCTTATGTGTTGGTGGTCCCATCTCTCCCTTTATGGACTCAGCTCCAATCTTTATTAAATTAGTTCCTAAGAAATATGATACAGAAAATTGTGTTTGGAATAGTACTTGGAAAGCAGAATATGTAATCAAATTTTTTGGTTTAGACTTCATGGGAAGCAGTCAACAATTCACCACAAACCAGGACAAATGGAAGAGAAAAGGCCAAGGTGACGTCCATTAGCAGAGTTACTTTTTTCCCCACCTGATAAACTTATGGAAATGATGGCAAAAATATGATGTGACATTTGAACCTGACTCAGATATTCACACAAAAGATACATCAGGGAAGGTCCCCACCTCCCCACAATTTCCCATTACTCACTGGCCCCCAAAGAGTTGCATTCCCAAAAGGGCAAAAACGACTATGAAGAGGAAAAGGAGGAAAAGAAGGCTGATGATGGACTTCATGGAGTTCAGCAGAGATACAACTAGGTTTCGTAGGGAAGCCCAGTACCTGCAAAAAAATTCCACATATGAACTATGTATGTTAATCAGAGTCACACCCCAAAAATTGTAAAGCTCTTTCAGGCCTACAATTTAAGTGGATGCAAACAATACTGATAATCCACTGAATAATAAAATATTTTCTTGGTATCATGTATATAAACTGATATTTGTATATTTCTAAATGCATTTTATCAATTCACTTCCTAAGTTTTTAAAAAGAAAGTTACATTTCTTTTCTAATAAATCATCAGCACAACTTGTTTTAAATGTTGCCGAACTATATATTTACTATAGCTTTATTTCTTTCTATTAGCTCTGAGATATTTGTAGTATAAGGTTTTCTCTTATTATTACATCTTCATAACATCCTGCTGAAGACTGAAACATTGTCTTAAGATCTGTCTCAGTGGCACCTTGACAGGAAGATGCATATTGATTCAAGAGCATTTATGCAGATTTATTCCTGGGTTTCCCTTTTCTCGTCTAGTCTAACAATTGATCCACTAAATAAAGTCTTTTCTCTGCAAAACATGCTAATTGAATATTAATTCTCAAATTATTTTTATTTGATAAAGCTGTTATTAACTTTAGCCTATGTTGTCATCCTTGCTTTAACTCTATATTTAACAAACACACTCACAGACTAACCCATTTTATGCATTTCTGATGTATTGACTTAAAGCCCACTTACTTTGTGACTTTGAAAATACGCAGTAACCTGAGAGCTCGTAAGACGCTTATCCCAAAGGAGGTGCCAGGCTTTATTGCAGCCCAAATGACCTCGAAGATGCTCCCAATGATAACCTGCCAAAAATCAAGGCAAGTCAACAAGTTTTGGAACTTGCATTATGTAACTATACAAGATATGCAGAGGTATAATTAGACATAAGCTTGAAAACAAAATCAGCAAGAGATCATAATTCAGTAAGAGACCACAAGCTGAGACCATTCCCTAGGAACTCTAATTGAGTTATACGGTACCGCAGGTCACAGTTGTTAGTATTGGGTTAGATGGCCAAGCAGACTGATGTAAAATAAGGCAACTTCTTATGTTTTGAAAAAACATTTGAAAGCTAAAGGAACCATGCTATGGTTTCCTAATATATAGTTATACCATAGAAAACGATGATTTGTTTACATTGACTTTCTGTCCTTGTTTTCGTCAAAAGCATTCCTTAACCTTAATTAAGCTTTTAGAGAGGATTTGTATTCACATTCTTTTGAATTATATGGTTATGAAATGGAAATTGATGGCTGGAGAATTCAAATGGCTTTTCTGCAACATCTAATGATTAAGAGGCTAGTTTTATGCTTTCTTATTGTTAAGATAAATTATCTAAGGCCTCAGTTCTCTGTGGATTGAAGAGGTGGTATTATATGCAACCTATGGATGAGTTGCTTACAGATATAGATTTATGGATGATTAAACCAAAATATAGTAATTTTTATTGAAACTATCGCATAAAATAATCTGTACTTAGAAACATAGATAAGAGGCCCATATTTATCATTTCTGTCTATCCATCCACACAAGATGTATAAAAAAATTAAAATTGTATCATTAGAAAAGTATGATGCATTATTATAAAATGTTAAATGTTAAGTAATTATTATTTACTCCCCCTGCCTTTATTTCACTTGTCATCTTTTATATATTTATTTTGTTTAATAAAATAAAAGCACCTCCCCCGTTAGTCTTTCTTGACCTTGGGCAAGTCATTCTGGAGTGTGTGGGCAACATGTATTCCCTTTTTAAGGAGGAACTACCCAACTTTCCTGACTGTATTGGAGTATTAACACATCCTAAAACCAATGAAGCAACAAAGAAAACTTAACTATGCCCACTTATTGCTTGTAGCAACAGGCAGAATCCCTAAGGGGATTTACTACCTATCCAAGGAGACCCTTTGGGATCCACAAGCAGGATGGGGGAACAGAAATGCATGGTAAGGAAATGTTTGTTTTTGCTTCTTGTTCACAGTGAAACCACAAGAAAATTATTTTAGTTGCTTAAGAATGAAATGATAGAAACAAAGAGATGAAATGCCTCTTCAAAAGCAGCAGGAAAGTCCTCTCCTAAGCCATTTTAGAGGTTCCTGGAATGCAACAGTCCTTAATCTGAAAAATTCCATCTCATTTTGGTGACAGAGACTTGATTACACTTTCTCAACTGTTGAGAATGCTGTTCTAATGGTTTTACTGTGGGAACAAGAAGCTTTTTCATTGTCAAAAGCTATACCAATGGAAGCTTCTTTATTCCATAGCACTCCCCCTCCTTTCTGCTGGAAAACTGCTGGGGGACCACAGTACTTTTATATGGGTTCTGAAACTTTATGCAGGAAATCTCTTTGTTTTTTATCTTCTTTTTTATTTTCAAGTATAGGATCAATTTCTTCCTTTCTTTATTGATAGCTAAAGCAGTGTTTCTCAACCTTTTTTGTGCAAAGGCACACTTTTTTCATGAAAAA